ACATAGGTAATGGCTGGTCTGCTGTATGACAAGGTTCGGGCATGGGAACATGGTGTTTGTATAATAGCAATCATATCGGTTTCCGGGCAACGCGTTATGAGGCGGATTTTGCAGCACCCTTCCCGGTCGAACGTTTTCCTTCTTTGATGTTTCTGTGAAGTAATTATTTGACACAGCATCGTTAGGAATTATTTCGCGCGATCAACAGCAGTTCTTCAAATTATTATCACTGACTTTTTTTCTGCCGCGTTTCCTTGCTCATCTGCACGGCTGAATTAGCATAGAGCTCTGTGCGCAGAACACGGGACAATAGAATTACTTCGCAATTGACGCTAGAGCAATGAATAAAATCTTACACCTTGATAGTGTTATTTCAGAGTCCCGTCAGTGTTCAAGGGATTTTGGCAAGTTTTTGATGCCAAGCCTCTTTTAAAATGTATTGATGTTGGCGCAGGGCATTTGTGGCACTTTCAAAACTCACAATTGCCTCCATTTATAACAACAATAATTCCAAATGACGAGCTATCATTCAGTTAATATTATAAATGTTGTGTGCCAATGTTTAGCAAATGGGATTTTTTCTTAAATAGTATCATGCCATACCGGACACCCTCTGCATGAGGAGCTGAAGTTCTCTAGAGCTAGTGGCGCTAGTGAGATGGCACTTGGAGCATTGCATTCAATATTGGAGGCTGAAAAATACCACTCGAGGCGCTGGAGCATAGTCAGGCTAAGAGAATGATCAATGAAGTTACGAGACTTCAGCTTCAGAAGCGTTTAGAAGCATCAGGATTGCACGCAATCGAGAGAAGAATAGCGATGGCAGTACCTCATCCAGGCATTTAAGTTAGTTAAAGGAATCTATAACGTAGAGCTTGGCACATTTTTTCCAGTCCGATACTAGCAACAGAACGAGAAGACACCCACGGTTGTTGCGTAATCCCCATGTGAGGCACAGGTTGATATAGAACTTCTTTACTTGTACGGTTATTGAACGCCTGGAATGCATTAAGTGACGATGTAGTGGCTGACTCTGGAGTGACCAGAATTAGGAGGATCGATGCCTACATGGCCAATAAAGGAGCATTGTAGCTTGAAACGACAAATCTTATTTTTTTTAAAGACATGCATTTTGCCTTGGGGAGGGGTAAGCCTAATTTAGGATTCCCCGAGAGCCTGGCCCCCAAGCGAGACGTCATTATGGCCAGATACTCCTCCTGACTTCACTATCGCACCTTGAACCATTTTTCCTGCAGTACTCCTGGGCCTGCATCTTCTGGTGACAGCCTCCTATAAATGATCAACTGCACGCTTCGAAAGCCCTGCGGAAGCCCCATTGGAGTCAAACCAAATATATTTATTTATTTCACAGCAAGAACGCATATACCGCACCTTTCCTATGAAGCTGGACAGGTTATTCCAATCCTGGAGTGTGTTCAAAACAGATCAATAATGATAATATGCGATCATAGAAGACATCAGGCACGATTTATTGTTTGGCTACTTTAAATGTATTGCTGGTTTGCAGTGACGAAGATAATGTATTCGGGCTGACGATCGCAAATATGAAATATGGAGGAACATGATGACCCGAACAGAACAGGTAATAGAGTAGATTATTCCCATGGGAAAGAGTAATTATGGCGATCAATGAGCATGGAACACTGATGAGGAGTACACTTAACCACGGTCCTCATTGCTTCTCTCAACGCAATGCTTCTGCTTGAAATAATAATGAGGAGCACCATTAAGGACGTCCCTCTCTCTTTTGGTCTCCTTATTCTTTGCGTGAGGTGGCTATCGAGAAGCTTGGATATCATTAGTACACCAGCGCGTCCTTGTGACACAAACACACTTCCCGAATTATGACAAGAGGGCCTAATGATATATTCGGCAATCTCTGGCTCTAATCACGGTAGAATACGGCAAGGGACCGTTTGCACAATGTGCATTGGGGACGTTACTCATATGTACCTCCACAATCAGTATGTCTTTCGACCCAGATTTATTCGTATCCCGAGGAAGTGGAGTAGGTCACAGCAACGAAGGTTATTCTCCAATAATTTGGATGGTGCGCTAAAGTCATCCTGCAAACTCCTTCTCTGATCTCGATATCCGTAAATATAAGAAAACCATCATTTGGCAATGTTTTCAACATTCATGAACGCATAACCAATTGTTTTTTTTTCATGGAGTCGATCATCTGTTAAACATGCAACTCATTATTGATTGTAGTAAGCAGTAATAATTCCACTGAATTAACCTGAAAATTGTGAACAATGATTGCTCAATGAAGCATTACACATCATTATTGGTAATATTGATTTGCTTTCCAAAGATCATTCACCAATGAATCTCTGGTTTCGTGTACTGGATTAATTAATGACTTAAGAAAGAATACAAGCTTCTATACCAGTTGGTATATAGGCTCTTTGGATATCACAAAGGCTCGTGCAGGTGAAAGGGCCAGTATTGTGAGCAAAGACTACTTTTCCTCCATCAAAACAAGAACAGTCGTGGGTCGTACTGTACGAGGGGTTACACGTTTCCGCGCGGACTTCATTATATCTCGAGCTCCCAGCTGGTTCGGACGTTCTCCCCCTCCTGTCTACATTACTGGAGGCTTCTCATTTTTTTTCTTCGTAATTTTACTGCAGGATGGAAGGGCGCAGGAGCCGTACGAGTGATGTCGTACCAGTTTCCCGCGGCGTTCGCGCGGCCTTGACTGTGAGAGAGTTTCGAACTGTCATTTGCTACAACTTTTGTCGTGGCTTGACAGCCATGGAATGCCTGAAGGAGATGAAGGAGGTGTTTGGTGATTCTGCCCCAAAGAAAACGATGGTCTGCAAGTGGTATCAGCGTTTTTCAAGCGGCCACATGACGAGAGATGACGAACATGGTGAACCCAAGCCGAGGACGTCGAGAAAGGCAAGCAACGTCGAACGAGTGAGGGAGCTGGTGGATGAAGATGGACGTCTCACTGTCGCCAGGATTGCCATGGAGCTGAAGATCAACAGAGAAGCTGTTCGTCGCATCCTGAAAGAAGATCTCGGCTACAGCAAAAAATCAGCCAGGTGGATCCCCCGCCTTCTGACGGACGAGCAGAAGGCCATGCGTGCCACGTGGTGTGCTGAATTTTTGAAGCGTTTCAAGCATGGCAAGGCTCCTTCCTACCAGCTTCTGACCACTGGAGATGAAGCCTGGTTCTTCAACCTCGACCCTGAAACAAAGAAACAGTCCATGGTCTGGTCGATGAAGGGAGTGCCTGGTCCGGTGAAGGCCCGGCGCATCAGGTCGGTGAAGAAGACCATGTTCGCCATGTTCTTCAGCCAAAAAGGCATGATTGCTGCTGTCCCTCTGGAACCAAAGGAGACAGTGACAGCGGACTGGTATCGTGAGAAGTGCCTGCCAGAAGTTTTCGATGGGGTTCGTAGGTGTCACTCCATGGTGCCCTTCAAGAAGCAGTGGTTCCACCACGACAACGCCCCAGCCCACAAGGCGAAGTCCACCGTCCGTTGCCTGGAGGAATCGGGCCTGAACGTCTTGACCCCACCACCCTACTCCCCTGACCTGGCCCCCTGTGACTTTTGGCTCTTTCCAAAGCTGAAGGAGCCCTTGAGAGGCCGCCACTTCGAAACCAGGGATCAGCTTGTTGCTGCTGTTCTGGGGAAGCTTCAAAGTTTCACAACTGAGGATTTCAAGGCCTGTTTCGACACATGGATCAAAAGGGCTGAGAAGTGTGTGCAAATTGGCGGCGATTACATTGAGGTGTCTGCCTAGCCTTTGGGAACCGCTGAACATGAGAAAAATGTTGAAAAAAATCCATGGTGTTCAGATCATTGCAAGTCCGCGCGGAAACGTGTAACCCCTCGTATATTGTCTGTTGTCTTACCTATTCTATGCGTACTCGTAAGGAATTCCAACTCCTAAGAGCAGAAAGTTAAATCATTCAATATCTAAATCCATAAAGACGCACGATTCAATTGAATGACAACGGTCCCTGCAAATCAAGATGACCGATGTTGCTGCAAGCGCCTCAGTCTTTATTAAGATCATGTATTTGACAGATAAACATGGAATCCATTTGAAATTATTAGTGCGTTGTGGCCACTTCTAAATCACCTGGTCCAGAGTGTTCACCAAATTATAATTGATTTTAAGAAGTGCCACTAACATGTGGAACTTGTTTATATTGACCAATATGTAAGGTTTTTTTTTGACAATGTAAGCTCAGCCGAAATTATTCTCACATGCATTCGGTGGAAGACCTCATCCGATGAGGTACAATTATGCATGTGGAAATTTTTCATTCGTGTTCTTCATGACAGCAGGTACGATCAACCTTAAAAAACGAGCATTTACAAGCGTTATTCAATAGTTGGCGAGCTGTTCATGAACTGGGTCATTTTGATATGGAATACAATTTCCTTTGGTAATTTGAATATCATACATATATAACCAATGCTTGCTCGATTTCTCCATTTTCTAATGAAATGCTTATGCATTTGCTGTCAAGAGCAAAAATCATTATTAAGTTTCAATTTCTGTCGATGTTAATGTTGGGTTGGTGATTGGGATTGCCGTCCGAACAATACTAAACCAATTTAAAAAGTTATATGATGCATTTTAGGGAAGTCCTTTAAACCCTATCATATCCGAGCACAATGGCCTCATCTTCACATACAAGGAATACTCCTGTGGCAATTCATCGCACAACGACATCGATGTTAGAACCGCATTCTTCCCGGGTTGAAAACATGACGTTTCTTAAAATCAATTCACTGCTGGACATAATAACATTTAAAAAAAACCCTCGCGTTTGAGTCGTTCTTAAAGCTAGTATGTTCTTCTGGGGACCAGTTGTGACACACACAATTTTTAGTCAAACTTTGTCATTTACTGTGGACAAGAGCGTGCTTGTATCATTGCCAGTTTTCGCACTCGTACAAAAATGTATGCTCCATTTTCAAATTACATTATTCCTTATACACTCCAATTGGTTACACGTAGCCGTACAAAAGCCTGAGAACGGTCAAAATTGACTTCGTTTCGGAGACAGCTCGCAGCTGGAGTTGTTGTTGGTGCTGCCCCGAGGCAAATGAGTCAATTTATTTATTAAGCTTTCTTGAGAGTTGTGGAGGAGGTGAATATTTCATCCATTTGATTTATCTTCATCGAATTTAGTTCTTGCGGAATTGGGACGTGACAAAGATATACTCCCGAAGGTCTGTAAGCATTTCACATTCTTCTCTCTTAGGTTCCATCTCCGGCTCGTAGGGAGGCTACAGTCTCTCTTTGACTCCGTCGCAACAATCAAGAACGAGAACGTGATAGAGGAGGAGAAAGGCAAAAATGACAGTTTTTTGGACTTCATTATTGAGTTACGGACGTTTGGTGGTTATTGAAGCTATGGCACTGCCTTTTTGATGTGTCTAAGAGCAATTTGGAATTGCGCTTCCAAGGGTTGACTTACTACTGAGAAATATTACCTTTTACCGCCTTAGTAAAAAAAATAACCTATAATTGGACTACATCTGCAGGCACCAGAGAATCATGCCTAGAATATGATTAGAATAGTCAACCTGAGAAACTCACCTCAGAGGTTGGGGTATTGACTTGGATGATGCTGTATGAGTTCCCAAAGTATCCCGCTGTGTTCCCTCCGCATGACCCAGAAAATGCATCTGGAGTTAGCCTAGGGCTATATGTCGTCACGTCACACGTCATCAGACAGCCAGGGGAGAAACTCTGCTTGACATCTTCATAAAAGTCGACATATTGTCCAAAGTCGTCAGAGGTGCTGCAAAGCGACTTCATGCTTGCCTGATCCTCAGGTACCACAAAAGGCAGGAGGCATGGGGCATCCTTCAGGAATTTGTTGGCTACTGCATCCTCCACGCACTGTGAGCAATGGATCCGTATTTGTAATAATGGCTTCTCGAGAAATTCGAAGGAGACTGCAGAACAAAGAGGGTTCTGTTACCGTGCTGAAGTTATAGTCACCATCTGCACTGCACGTTCTTCCTGAAGGCAAGGAGATGTAATTCCTTGGAGAAAGACTCAGAAAATAACTTCTTCCATTGTAGATATACAGAGTCTGATCTGTAGTTGGCACGTTCTTCATACTATCTGTGAAAGGCTCTTCTTTTGAGTGTACATGGATCTCGAAGCTCCCCGATTGACCTCCAAAGTTTTGGTATGACAACATAAGGTACATGACAAACGAATTGGCTCCCATCGGCATCGTTAAGTCTGCATAAAACGTGTGGCAGACTTTCATGAATCCCCTCAGCTCATGCTGGAGGAATCGTGATTCTTTCCAGTATCCACCTGAGGTACATAAGAATGTATGCATATTGGTCACAATGGAATACATTGATGGACAGAGAGAATGTGACCAAAACTTGCCCATTGTTTGGTAGACCCGATGACCGTTGAGCCAAATCGGATCAGTTCTTGGTGTGCAGTCAATGGGAAAAGTACTGTTCTGCACAGCGCATTGATATATGATGCTGGGGCCATTCATAGAAAAAACATCCAGAACATCTTCGAGGCTCATATTTAATCCATTAAGGGTCCAGTTCTTTAGGTAATAACGGTTGTTCGCGCCACTCGTTGCCAAATCGTCATCCGTGAGGTTATAGAGCTGCAGTGCAGTTTCGTTCCATGCCCCATAGGGACACACTGTGATTGCTGGAAATTCTACGCTATCTGGTCGGTCGATAGTTATACTTTGTGCTGTTGGATTGCTCATGTAGTACTGGATCAGCGCTTGTGCCTGTTGAATTTTCGAAGAAATAGTCATCATGAGCATGATGTATTATACAAACTATCTAATGAATGCATATATGAAGGAACTTGGATATCGAAAAAAAAACCTGCAAAACGGTGAGCGTGATGGCTGTACAAAGAACAAGTATCCAGAGCAGTTTCCAGATCCCTGACCTTTCAGTCAATCGCAATTGACTGCATAGGTTTTTGCGCTTGGGAACTTTCTTTTATTTAATTTACGAACAATCAGACGGTTGGTGCCAAGGTACTGTATGTATCATATGTTTTGGTGGGTATTGTTACCCACCAAAAACCACTCCTCCACTTTGTAGGAAATGTGTTCGAATTCTCAAAATTGGATACTAATTCGTTTTTAACACTTGAAACGAGAAAAGTAGAACCAACCTCATTATAAAATCCGGGAGAGAAAACCATGAATGAACCATTGCAAGCACGTTGCCATTTCCTTATTGGAGTGGGATTATTTCCTGTTTTGCGATAGTAGCTCACCAAGGCCAATATCTTAAAGTTACATCTCGACAGGTACCTATAGTCATTAATTAATTTTTTTATATTCTTCGCTTACGCATGCTCTACTTACTCAATGCTTGTTTTATTGCGATGCAAGTGTAATTGCCATAACAAGTTTCATCAATGACATTTTGATATGATTTTGATAAGTGCATTACGTCGTTCCCAAGACGTCATTCTCATGTTTCATGAGGTCACATATGGAATTTTGTGAACTAACTCATTTCACATTCCAAGCACACATGCCAAACATGAAGTTCAAGTTATTTGAAACCAATGGATTTCAGCGAACATCCCATACAACATTGATGTCAGACCCTGTGGTAAAAAAAATAAATGGAAAGAGTTAAGGGACTGAGTACATGCTCTCATGGATGTCGTGCAGATAGCCTTATTCCCATGGGGGAACAGTGTAGTGCAATGTAGCGATTTATATGAAGGCGCAATTGCGATATGCGTGTGCTGCGGGAGACGGTTGCGATCATCCGAATAGAATTTTATGAAGTTCTTGCACATGAGTGGCAATGCTCTGCTGAATCAAGTCGTAATATTTTAAAATGAGAAATCGAAATGCTCGTTTTACTTCCTACCACGTTAATTAAAATCAGGCTTCCTGAGGGGAGGGTCTCCAAAGTGTGGCCTATCTGAGTATGCCACGGTGTAAAGTACCTTTTGGTACCTTTTATATGTTGATGTGGATTTCATAACCTGTTCATGGGATTTAGTTTTATCTCCCCTTCACAGCTGCGATTCTAACACTGAGCGAGCTGCAGTTACTATGGTGGGCAGAATACCTAAGTGTCTTTCTTTACAATATAGTAGGGCTTGCTTGGACAAAAATATATTACTTCTTTCGCTGCTGCGAAATTCATTTCATGCCACTGCAGTGTGTGTGCATTATAAGCAAGATTTATTCATCAACTTCCATCGTATAATTTTTTTGCAGCGTTATTTATCGAAAACAGGCAGATATTCTGCAAGGATGTGCTAAAAAAGTGTCCATATTCATGTAAGTGCGTGCTTTTTATATTTTTCTTGAAATAAAGGACTTCAAGCCTCCCACTGCACTTACCTCGTTCGGAAAAATTATTGGATTTGTGGTGAGATGGCTTGGCAAAACCATTCTCTCCTCCGATCTCACGTCCAGCATTTCTTTGTAACGAAAGAAAAAAGCCAGCTTCCAGAAAGTCAGAAATAAGCTTTTCCGGTTTGGAGAGGCTGTTTCATCCGTACCTGTCGATGGGCGAAGTGGTTCTTTCCATCAGCTCCAATTTCCCCCGGAAGTATGCGATGTTGCGCTTCAAGCGTTCCATGCCGTTCACGAGGTTGTTATCGAGTTTTTGATGCGCTGCCTCTTTTCCGGTCGTCCAAATCTTGAATTGGGATTCAATCTGGTTTCCCATCCCCAATTTGTCCGTGTTGGACCCTATAGGTCTTCGTGTATATAGATGCAAATTCGTTCAATGCAATCACATAATTGTCATAGCAAAAACACGTTTGTCGAATGAGGAATGCAGTTGCATTCGTACCCGTTGATCAACGTCATGTAATCTTCCATTTGCTTCATTTTCAACTTGAAAGACTTCATGTCACGTTTGAGGGTTTCCATTCCATCGGCAAAATGAACGGCATTCTGCACTTTTTCATCCATCATCCATTCATTTTTTTCCAGCATCCTGGACTTTGGTCCGATCTGAATTTCGCTTGGAACGATTCTTTATGGAAGTTAGAATACTTTTTTTCGTGCACCTGTTTAAGTCGAAAACTATGTTGAGGAGGCAAAGTGGGGTTTTATACTCTTTTTTTTTTAAAGAAATGAAGAGTATGCTATGATTACTTTTTTATCGTATTGGTGAGAAAGGGATAACATGACTTTCTTGGCACATGCATTACGTCAGTCTAATGTTTTGAATTTTACCACCCAGAATCTCCTAGCATGTTAGGTTTCAGATACATTACTAAAAACAAATCGCCAAGAGAATCGTAGAAGCGGCAGAACGAGACTCTGCTCATATTATGAGAAAAGGGGACATTTATTCATTCCACATCGTGTAAAAATAACTCTTTCATTGGACCAGAGGGGGGGTGTGGGAATGGCTAATGGCTATTGCTTCTATACCTAGAAACACGAAGAATGGCATGGACCAACCTGGACAGTTGTGCTTCTGCCTCGTTCTAAAAATCGATAAAGATGATAGCAGTTTCAGCACGAATGAATATACCTCTCCTTTGACGCGCACCTCGCACTTCGGTTCGTCTGGTATACTACATGATTTGTGCGAGCGTGACATGGTGTTTTCTTTCCCGCAACCCCATCGGTTTCCCAGGCAACCTATCGGTAGGGGGGTGGGGGTTGACTCCACCATGACCTTCCCCATTAAGCGTGTTCTTCGCGGCACTTCCTGGCGGAGAAAGACTAAGACGAAAAGAGAGACAATCTCTCCAGAATTTCACCCTGCCGGAATCTTTAAATCCGTCGAATCAGTTCCTCAACGCAGTTGTACCTACTTTTTTCTTTATTTCTCTCTTGAATCATCTCCAAATCTAAGGAGCATCTTCTAGTTTTATACTGTAGGTGGGGTGGTTGATTCTCGCGGAAGAAGTGACCCATTCTAATGGGTCACCCCAATTCTTCTACCCTTACAAAACGCCCGGCTACATCCGCTTGGCTAAACGACCAGGTTAGTTTGGAGGTGGATTTGGAACCGGCTGGAACGCTCCAGCATAATATATTTTTCATAGAAAAACACAGGTTTCAGCATATGGAAGGTTCATGGACGTCCCTCATTTTCAAAGTAGTTCCATCATGAGAGAGAAGTCTTCACGAGTGTTGCAAGCGCTACACCAATTAAGGGTACGGTTGAGTACGAGCCTTATTACTCCCCACAAAATAATTAATGCATGAAAGCATAATGAGCAATATGGGAGAGGGCGATTATGCCTTTTATTTTCCTTCCCATATCGTTTTATTGTCACCGATTAGGCTCCCATACGTCATGTGTACAGTAGCTAGTCCGTAGAAGATATACGCACACGTGAAACAATCGCAGGTCAGGGTTGATGAACTCGCTATCGACGTGATGTCGACAGTGGGATTTCCTTGCTCGCGAACTGCGCAATTGGTCCATTATTCTGAGAAGCAAACATACAGTGGCACATGGGAAATGACGCATTGACGTTTGCTTTTGCTCTTGCTATGATTGGAATGGAACTTGTCAGAATGAATAAGTGTTCATTCCGAGATCGTCAAGCACTATTGATAGTGGGATATCACCGGGTCCGTAAGAAAGACTCAGAGCGTCGTCGCTTCCATCTTCTGCGCCCCTCATGCAAGCATAACAGAGAATCCCGATTGACGGAAACCTTTCTTAGAAGCTTTTATGGAAAGGATCGACAATTCTGAAGGGATAACTACTTCGTACAACGGTGAATACGAGCTTACCCAATTTATTTTCGCTTACGTCGAAGTTGGGAAGTTCTCACGGAAATCGGCCCTGTGGGTGTGCTTCGGCTTTAGGAAAGATTCCATAGAACCCAGCGGTTGTGGAAATGTGAGGGGACTGGAGACTCCTGAATGAAAATTCATGAAGCAAGCCGAGAAGCTGTCAGTTCGAATAGGACTTGATCTAGGGCTAGACACGGTTTCAATTTCAAGCTGTTTCTTCGCTCGAAATTGTCGGATTTCATAGATATGGAAACCAGAATCCGTGAGAAAAAAAAAATAAATTCAGAAATGTCTAAGTTCAGACCGGGAGAACTAAGATGAGTAAGAACCGATTTCATTTCTACCAAGGCTCCACTTGGTGGAAGATCACGAGAGACATCAACATTGACACGCCTCAAGCGCTCAAATATATATGTATATTTTTGAAATCCCTTCTTTTTAAGGAACTTCATGAAAGCCCGATACTCCAGCTTCACGTTGTCCATGTCAGCAATGTTCAACTTGCTCTCAACTAAGCTGCTGAAACACTACTGACCTCTTGCTCCCTCCGAGTAATATTTCTACTTCAATGTCCCTAACTCTGTTTGCAAACGTTCTCATATTTCCTCTTTCGTATTCTTGTAGGTAACTTTTCAGATGGCCCACGTATTAACCTGTGTGGCCTTTTTTCACCAAAAGGACGAAAATGGGTACGTCCGGGAATAAAAATCTGGATCTCTCGCACCCAAAGCGAGAATCGATATTGGCTTTGACAACATCGTCTTCTTTAAAATCCTGCCACTTCGGTTTTTCATGTCGTGTTTTCTTGAAGATGACTAATGAAAAAGTGAGAAATGTACTTTTTTCCCTATTGAGGATGAAAATGAAAGAAAATGAGGGAAAAATTCGCTTTAGAACGGAGTGACCCCACAGCTTCTCGCGTTTATACGATTAGGGCCTCATGAGCAATGAGTGAAATTCGATCACGCTGTCTGTTTCGAGTGGTTCCTGAGTTTCGATCCCGCTTGGGGCTGCGCAAGTCGTGCGAGTTTTACAGCGACTCGGTCGTGGTTTGGAGCACTTCTCGCCTCTGTGGTTCTTTGTGTACAGGCGGATTCCACGGATTGCGAAACGAATGCATCTGTCTGCCGTTGCTGCTCGTGGCAGAAAATGTTTATTTTTTCCACCTCGTCCGACTTTTCTTCGGAATCGAGTTACATAGAGGGTATTTGTGTGTGCCCACTATAATAAAGAAAAACGTGGGGCTCGTCCGGGAATTGAACCCGGGACCTCTCGCACCCTAAGCGAGAATCATACCCCTAGACCAACGAGCCGAACATGGAAGTTCCGGCTCTCAGTTCCTTCTTTTTAAAAAAGTCGCTTAGATCTTGAAAATCCGGTTTTTTTAACTGCTGCATCTCATGCTGACTATAACAGTCGTTCAGAATCACACCAAAAAAAGGCATGTGGAAGAGGAACAGAGCTTGGTAAATATAAAAATGAAATAAGAATCGTGGGAGAACGAAGGAAACTGACAGCCACGAGGAAGGCCGTTTTCGGGCTGAATTAATTATTTATTGCAATTTCCTGGAAGTGGTGCCATCAGCTGAAAGCATTGATTTTCTCAGCCGACCTTCTCGGACGCGCGAGTGACGTATAGAGCGTGGACTCTCTCAACCTTTGACCGTTCCAGCGAGGTGGCCGTTTTATTTTACCATCATTTTTGATCTTGAGAGCTAGTGTTGCGAGTCAACTCTGTTCCATCGGGTTCACGAAAGTGCCTTCGACAAACCTTAGAGCGAGCAAAACATGATGGAGGAAGTCGTGAGTCACCCGTGATTCAGGCGTGAAGTGATCCACGAACACCTCCGAGCAGAAATAAACACCTCTGAACCAGAGCGCGCGGAACGAAGCGAGCACGCTGGCACCTCCTGCCGATTCTTCCCGAATACTCGTACAGATGGCAGCACCTGCAACCATTTCATGTCCGCTTATATTGCGGCCGTTGGTTTCCTTCGCTCCCACGATTCTTATGGAATTATTCATTTCCCTAAACGCGCTTCTTTTTCTATCATAAGCATTTTCTTCGCTGATTCTGAACGGCGGTCGCAGTCGGTATCAGTTGCAATGGTTAAGCAAACCTGATATTTGGGAGCTGATTCATTTCATACGCCACCTAAAGCAAATCCGACATATTAATAATACGGATGGCTCGTTGGTCTAGGGGTATGATTCTCGCTTAGGGTGCGAGAGGTCCCGGGTTCAATTCCCGGACGAGCCCAATTTTTATTTCCATGTCAGATCGAATTCACCCTCTCCCCGATTCCGAAGAGAATTCGGACGAGATGGAACCAAAACCTCATTTTAGTTCCAGACAAATGCCGAGCAAACCAGCAGCATTCGCTTTCGGATCGGCACCTCAATCGCAAGCAGCAACGCTTCATGCACTCGGAAAGGAATTTCCCCTGCAAGCAATCCCATGCGACGAGCGGAACCGAGAGGACGAGAGAGGCGAAGTTCCCAAAGGAATTTCTCCTGGAAAATTGGTGAATCCGGCCTGCAAGCAGAAAACCGAAAAAAAAGCTCCGTGCTATCCCCCCGAACCAGCTGACGGCGCGGGTGAATTTTCGGCTCAATGAAAGCAAGTACTGTATTGCTCACTTCGATCGGAGTCGGCTTCAGAAAACAATAATTATAAACTATTAATAATTCGCATGGCTCGTTGGTCTAGGGGTAAGATTCTCGCTTTGGGTGCGAGAGGTCCCGGGTTCAAATCCCGGACGAGCCCACATTTTTTTTCTGATAGCTTACTGCGTGGTTTTTATACCTCTGAGACCGATATTAAAAGAATTACACAAACGGTGCTTTTAGATTGGGTCAAAGTAAGTTACAAATTATGCGTTACGTTTGAGTCTTCATGTTCAACGAGAGAGTTATGATTAACCAAATACAGGCAGTGAAAGGAAAACATGCGCCAGAAATTACAGACGCGACGACACGTTCAGTCATCTTGTGAATTCTTATTAATCTTCTCCACTAGGTCCCTTTTGAGGTAGACGCATTTCTGTTACCGCGATTCGCACTAACGGATCGATGCCCTAACCATTCGTTGCCAATCCTGTTCAGCACCGTCTTCGTTTATTCTATACGCCCCTCGCGATGATCGAATCGCCTGCCACGCAAGTGTTTCTTCATCTCTGGGAAAATCCGGAGGGTGGGTGGTTTAGCGTGCTCCAGCCGAGACGCGCTAGCCCGGCCATGGTTGCTGTTGCGGTGTGGGGCCTTGCGTTGTCCTGCTGAAGGAAGATTCCTCTGCTTTTCATCCCCG